CCTCAGGACATAAATTACTTTTAGAGAATATCCTTCAACTAGATGATCTTATTGTACCATCACATCCAAAGATAAATGGCATCTTTATTTAAAAGATCTCTTTGGATATGCTGGTAAGCTATTTACATAGGATCAGGATGAATGAAAAGTACAGAAGGAGGAGGTGGCTGCATTTTCCAGGGAGGCCCACAACAAGATGTGGTCAGTAGGAGGTCCTGTGTTCTTAGGACGGGACTCACAGTCTGTATTACAAAGGCCTGGTAGAGACTGATCAGAGGAGCCACTGATAGCCTGAAGTGTATCTTCTGATACTGTAAAATGGAAGAGTAGAACCACTAGCAGATTACCATTCACAAGAAGTCCCTAAATTATTATGTGAAATAATAACTAATCCATAGACTTCTGCTAAACATAATAAATGTCCCATTCTATAGCCAAGATCTTGAGCTATTTCCCATGCTCCTATGAATGAAATGCTATATGCCCACCAGGTTAATTGCCCATTGCACAGTAATGAGCCAGTACACTGAAACAGTGGGAGTTGCAGGAGAGAATGAGTTTAATAGTTGTAGGTGAACCAAATGAAAAGATGGGAGGAAACCTCAAATTTGCCTCTCCAGGAGGTTTTGGGATGGAGTTTTTAAGGGATCTGGACAGATGATGGGCTAAAGGGTAGTGGTCACTGATTAGTCAAGAAGTGAGGGGTGAAGTCATGGTACAGGGAGGTGAAGAAACTGCATTTCTGTGCTGAGTGGGCTCCTTGGAGAAGGCCTGCAGATTAGCCGTCCTGCTGGAATTCAGGATCTGGAAAATACCTTACACAATTCTTGGGAAGAAAGGTCCATCACCAGATATTCTATCTATAGGAACAGTGGAGGAGCAGCTGGTCACTGTGCTATAAGACTCTCAGGTAAACAGCTGCAGAAAAGTCAGTCGAAGTGCACCGGTGCTATAATTCTGCCTGTAGCCTAGTGTGTAAGTCTAGCTAGCCCCGTGAGGATGGTTTCAGTCCCCCCTTGACTTGTTCATTTCCTCAATCTTGAGGCAGGAGGGAATTGGACAGTGACCACTCTGGCTGCTTCCTGCTGACAAAGGACGCAGATGGCAGGAGGGAGGGGTATCTCAATCAGGATTGAGGAAATTAAACTGTGGGGGCTCATAGATATTGCTGAGTGCCAGGTCTGGGGCTCTTACCCTGCACAGTGAAAACATTAGTGCTCTTGTCTAGGATTTTGACACAAAATGTAACAGAACAGTGAGTAGTGAGGTCAAATACGGGCCCTATTAATAAAAGGAAAAGTCCTAATTTTAGAAGCTGATGAAGTCAGCTCGTAGAGCTAATTAAAAGCCCTGAGGCATCCGTGAGAAAGTCCAGAGAACAAGTTGGATAATTCTGGTGTGTCTGGAGAAACCTACGGGTTTCACAAGTGTCAGGTTAGCTTTTGCATTGACTTGGCTCAGAGTAAAATGTCTGCACTCAAAAGTGTGATGTCAGATGTTTTTTATGCTAAAGAAATTTGATTGCTTGGATTTTCTTGATACAGTTTACATTGTGGTAAGCAGAAGAATAAACTTCCATATTCAAAATTTGTCCCACAAATTGTTTCACGTATGTACAAAAATCAATGCAGAACTTAGACGTATCTTTCATCATGGTAACCCTGTTTGCAAAAGCAGGGCATTATGAGTTACACATCACAGAAGACAAATGTGGTAGGCTGGGTGATGTGCCAACCCCCGCCAACCCGCCCCCAAGATGTCTGCATCCTACTCCTGGCAACCTGTGCCTATGTTACCTTATGTGACAAAAGAGACTTTACAGGTGTGAGTAAGTTAAGGTTCTTGAGGACGTTATCCTGGAATATTCAGATGGGTCCAGTGTAACCACACAGTGCCTTATAAGGGAAAGAGGGAGGCAGGAGAGTTAGAGAGGAAGATGTGATGACAGAAGCAAAGTTGGAGTGGGGTAGCCATGGCCAGAGCCAAGGAATGCAGGTCGCCTAAATGAGATGGAAAAAGCAAACAGTGTTCTTCCCTGAAGCTTCCAGAAGAAACTTAACCCTTGATTTTGGCCTCGTAACACCCGTGTTGGAATTCCAAACACCAGAACTATAAAATAATTAATTCATGCTGATTTAAGACAGTAAATTTGTGTAACTTGCTACAGCAACGTAGGAAATAAATACATCAAGATTTTCAGGTAGAGTCTGTGTGAGGGAGAACCACATGCATCACTGTGAATTTGCCTAGACTCAAGTCTCCTTGGTGGTGGAGCAGGGAAGAGGAAGGGCCGGGAGAGTGGGAGAGAAAAGGGAAGTCAGATCGTTTTGTGAAGGCTCTTAGGCTAGCTGGAACTTCAGGCTTACTTTTTATTTTTTCTGTTTCTCTAATTTCTCTTTCTGTATTTCTTCCTTATGTTGCTTGACCTCTCCCTCAAAAGCTAGATATGAAATGTTTTTATTCAAGTAGTATTAAAATTCATCTAGGATGTCTCAAGTTTACAGAAAGGATCAAAGGTGAAGACTACCTGTGAAACTCTTCAGCTAATTAGGAAACAGGTCCAATTGGCCTCAAAGTGACTCCTAATTAAAATAATTTTTCTAGTTGAATATTTTTGCTTTTTCTTCTTTAATGATTATTTTAAAATAGAGACTTCCAGAGAAGAATAGCAAAACCACAAATATGCCTTCAGCTCTCAAATTGTTATTTAAATGATGAACTGAAGTGAAAATGGAGATAAACCTCCCTGAGCATTGGGAATGCCATCACATATTGGAAATCTCAGGGAATAGAGTTAACAGGAAGTAATGCAAATCAGATTCCTTTCCTGGGAAAGAGCAGCTGCCTGGGAAGGAATCAGAGAAGATGCCAACCAAATCCTGCTATGATCTCCTGATTTAGAGAATGAGAGCTAGGGTGAGGAAAGACCACTGGGCATGCAGAGCCCTCTGCCACCTGGAAGTCCCTGGGTGCTCCTGTAGGCCACAGGTGATGGAGTGGTGAGAACAGGAAAGGAGCATGGTCTTCTGCCATGGTCTGTTCCGGAGATTGGGCTATGCTAAAGAGAAAAGCTAGTTACCAGGACAGCTTGTGTCCCCCTTTGTGTTTTTTCAAATACAAGAAAGAAATAACAAAGTATCCTGGAATTATAAATTAACCAGCTGCCCACTTTCTTAGCTCTGCCGAGTCTGTATAAACTAGTACAGACAGTAAATGTCATCTTTTTTTTTTTTTTAATTCTGGATTTAAAAATTTCAGGAAGGTGCTTGATACAGTTTGCCTGCGTTGCCATCCAAATCTCATCTTGAATTGTAGCTCTTGTAATTTCTACATGTCCCGGGAAGGACTCGGTGCAGAGGTAATTTAATCACCTTGTTCTTGTGATAGTGAATGAGTCTCCTGGAGATATGATGGTTTTATAAAGGGGAATTCCTCTGCACATGCTCTCTTGCCTGCCACCGTATAAGATGTGACTTTGCTCCTCATTCTCCATCCACCATGGTTGTGAGGCCTCCCCAGCCGTGTGGAACTGTGAATCCATCAAACCTCTTTTTCCGTATAAATTGCCCAGTCTTGGCTATGTCTTTATTGACAGTGTGAGAACAGACTCATATAGTGCTTATTCCTTGAAATAGGTATAACTAATGTTTAACTCTAAAATAACATATAATAATGAACAAATAAAAAATAACTGTGCAAAGGTATTATCTGTCAACCAGAAGAAAAATTCTCTAGGAAACCAGAGAAACTTGCTGCCAGGAATAAGATAGAGAACCTCCCATTTCAATTCTAAATGATTGACGAGGACATTTTATTTCTGAAACAAGTTCCAGCATTTATGAGTATTGCTCAGGGGAGTCAGCATAAAGAATAAAAATATATATTGGCTGGTTGAGGGACTGTAAACAATACAAGTAGAGTATAAAAGATGAGCTTTTGTATAAATCATGTTGGAAAAATAGTAGACATATGAAAAATTTAAAGGTTACATGGAAAAGATAAAAAGAAGAAAGTGAAAAATAAAAGTTAATTGTTCCTAGTTGCCTACAGTTGGTTGATATATCTGAAAATTGTCTTAAAAGTTACTGTCCTGGCTGGGGGTGGTGGCTCATGCCTGTAACCCCAGCACTTTGAGAAGCGGAGGCAGGCAGATCATCTGAGATCAGGAGTTCAAGGCCAGCCTGACCAACATGGTGAAACCTTGTCTCTCCACTAATAGCAAAAGAAAATTAGCCGATCACGGTGGCACATGCCTGTAATCCCAGCTACTTGAGAGGTTGAGGCAGGAGAAATCGCTAGAACCTGGGAGGTGGAGGTTGTAGTGAGCAGAGATCGCACCACGACACTCCAGCCTGGGTGACAGAGGCAGACTCTGTCTCAAAAATAAAAAAGTTACAGTTCAGTTAAAGGATTCAGCAATTGATTCTGCAATAGAAGGAACAGAGTGACTAATGTACTCCAACTACAGGCAGCATTCTCTCAACAACCTCCTGAGTGGCAGAATCTTAGTAGTGGTGAGGACATGGGTAACGTGTTAATGTCCTTGGTCTGCTCTTGATCAAGGGTAAGAAAGAGTTTAACCATAGATCACACACCCAATTTGACGACTATAAATTTACTGGAAAGAGTGAACAGAGTTGTAACTCTACTTTTCAATCCATGGTTGAATTGCAACCGTAGGTTTGCTACAAATATGAGAGTTTGGAAAATATCAATAGAAATGTTCTGTGAGAATCAATTGTTTATATTGAACTGCCAATAAAAATTATTGCTATTTTACTACTTTTTTGTAAATGATGTGCTACATTCCTTTATATAGGCAAAATTTGTAATAAATCTGTGTATCTCCTCATATACACACACACACGTTTTTCCAGAGCCAGTTATTAAACATTTATCAGCACATCATTGTTTATAAATGATATTTCTTAAAAATCAATTAGAAATAACTGAAAAATTAACTGTATACAAAATAAATATTTTTAAAACTTGTGGGAACATTTTATTTAATAACATTGGTAGCAGGATTTGATTTGTTAATTGAAAATCTATTAAAGGAGAGAATCATTAAAACCCATACATACATACATATATAAAAATACGATTTCAGCTTAGAACAAATATTTATGACAATTTGCAAATTTAGGGGTATAAAGCTAAGGCCATTTCTTTTAGCATGTGTGCACTCATAAAATGCCCCTTGGTATTTCTTGCATAAATTACATCCATTAATGCAAGACTTTGAGGACATCTGCAAGCTGATTGATTTGCATAACTTGCCCAAGCTTGCACAAGCAGGTAAGTTTTAGAGCTGAGATTTGACTCCAGTTAGTATGAACACAGAATCTTTTTTTTTAATGTTAAGAATGCTGCTTTTTATTGATTAGGCATTCATCTATGCAACAGCTTTTACTCTATCAGGTTATATTCAGAGCTTTGCTAGGTTTCTTCCCATTGGATTCTCTTGACTCTACTAACATTTTAGGATACCTGATCCCAGAGAAGTTCAAAGAAAACTCAAGTGAGAATTCCATTGCTCCCTAGTTCCTTGTAATTAAATAAGGTTAAATCATAGCAACATATGTTAATATTATAAAATTTTAATCCCCTAAAATTGGAATTGGGTCTGGTCTCACCAACTGACACAGTTCACTTTTTGTGCTATTCACAAACATCTCAATGCTATTGTTTTTCCTATTTTTCTTAAAACCTGTATTTTTAAGTAGTGGACTGCCCTAACTCATAGCACTCTGTGTAGATGCTGGAGAGCAGCCCAACTGCCAGGAGTATTCACTGTGCAGGAGGCATCAGTCAATGTGTGTGACAGAGACATAGGAGGACATGGGGAAATCAGTTACAATAGTTAGAATAGCTTTGTTTGGTAACAACAATACTTATTTAAACATACCATAAAACTTTCAATTCAAAAGCACAATGATATACCACTTTTCACGTATTAGGATTGCTAGAATCAAAAGGCCAGATAATAGCAAGTGTTGATGAGGACGTGGAGAAATTTGAACTCTCATATACTGCTGGTGGGAATGCGAAATGTGCAGCTGGAGACAGTCTGGAAGTGATTCAAGTGGTTGCATATGGAGTTCCCATATGATCCAGCAACTCTACTTCTACATATCTTCCCAAGATAAATGAAAACATATGTCTTCAAAAAAACTTGTACATAAATGTTTATAGAAGCATCCTTCACAATAATCAAAAAATAAAAACCCGTATTTCCAACAACCACTTTTTCAAATCCCAAGAAAAATATTACGATAGATGCTAATATATAATATGAAATACCCTTGTTCTAGTTGAAGAAAATGTTACAGCTTTGATGAGGGACCAAGAAAAAGATGACAAAAGGGATGTGTATTTATGTAGAAAGATTTTTGTGCTGGGCATATGGATAATGTTTTGGAGAACTCAATATTATAAACATATTAATTCATCCCACATATTTTTTAAATTTAGGCAAATTATTTAATTTCAATAGAAATATCATCTTTCCCCTTTTTGTATTTGTTAATAGGATTCTAAAGATTTCTTACAATTTTGAAGCTGATGAGAATTTGTCTTGACATTTTATAAAGAATACAGACTTACTTTACCACATGTTATTTAATTTCAAAAATTGCACAAATGTGAAAAGGCAGGTATTTTAACTAAACAGAAGAAGTATAAGAAGGGAACATAATTTAATAAGAATTGAATTTGTATACAAAATAACTGAGGATAGGAACGATTCTTGAATAAATTATAAGAAGATATTATTAGGAAATAAAATTCGGCCAGGTAACAGTGGCTTATGCCTACAATCCCAGCACCGTGGGAAGCTGAGACAGGTGGATCACAAGGTCAAGAGATCGAGATCATCCTGGCCAACATGGTGAAACCTTGTCTCTACTAAAAATACAAAATTAGTCGGGTGTGGTAGCACAGGCCTGTAGTCGCAGCTACTCAGGAGGCTGAAGCAGGAGGTGGAGGTTGCAGTGAGCTGAGACTGTGCCACTGCACTCTAGCCTGGGTGACAGAGCAAGACTATATCTCAAAAAAGAAAAAAATCAATTTGTCTCATACCTTATATTGAAATAAACTACAGATGAATTTTAAAATGTAACCTACCTAAAATATAAAGCCATAAAAGAATTGAAATGGACTACATGTAGTTGATGTCATTTAAGAAACAGCATCCTAGCAACAAAGCTTGTACAAGAAATCACAAATTAATATTTTGACATGTACAGAAATATTCTGTTTAGCAAAAAGTAATGTAAAATTTAAAGTGCAACAGCTAAGAGGGAAATATGTTTGCAGTATATAAATGCTTCCTATCTGTAATATATACAGAGTTTTAACACACCACTAAGAAAAAGATAGCAAAAAAAATCACATATACTAGTAATATTTGATTAAACATTCACTTATGAAGACATAGTGCTATGCACAACTAATAGAGTGCAAATCCACAGTTAATGAGATGTTACCTTTTACATAGTTCAAAATGATTATCACTGTTGTCAAGAGATGCAAGAGACATTCTTGAAAATTTGTAGTTTGTATACAGATTTCTATAGCCATTTCAGAAAGAAATTATCCTAAGGGAATAATCAGTGGTGTTAGAAGTCTAACACATAAGGATGTTCATGATTGTATTATTTACTTTTACCAAAAATAACTAAACAAAAGCAAACTGAATAGCCCCAAATAGGGTACATGTCCAACAAATTTTGGCACATCCATTTGATTGAAAGTTATGTAGCCACTAACAATCCTAGTTTCAAAGCATTTAATTATATGAGAAAATGCTCATGATATGTTCAGTCCAAAACTTAATGTATGCAATTTCAATTATTTTCTTTGTGGATACCCATACCGCCCCCCCAAACACATGCACCAAATCATGTTTATAAAAACAGTCACAGATGAACTGTTTATGTTAAATATTTATGATGAGTTTCTCTAGTTAATGTTATTATAAAAATTTCTATTTTCTTCTGAAGGTTTTAAATTTTTTTCCCAATTTTCTATAGTAAACCTACTTACTTTTATAAGTAAGAACTAGGTTATTAAAACAAAACCATAAGTTTTAAATTGAAGTTATTACATTGATTTTTCCAATTAAATAATAAATATGCAGTCAACAAACATTCACTGAACAGTTACTATATTCCTAGCACAATTCCAGACACAACATGTACAAAGAAATTTTCTGTCCTCTTCAACCTTACATCCTACTTCAGAATCACACAAAAACACTTCCCTCAGACTGATGCCACAAAGAGTGTGTTTGGGGAGCTCAAAGCAGCTAAGTGGGGGATCGGAACCCTTATGTTCTTGTGACTCAGCTAACTCAAAATACATTCTCTATCTATGTAAACATTCGTTACCTGTGGATGCCTCAAAGGCAAGCCACAAATTGACGTCAGAGTGGTCAGGTACCTGACGGCATAACAGAAGATATGCATAGCTTAAGTCCAGACTATCCTTCCGAGAACTCAGATGTTGCAATTCTGGTTTTCCAAAACTTGGCATTTCAAGTCTCTGTATCTTTAGAGGAGACTCATCACTTTTCTGCCCCATGGTTTATGCAAATTCATTAGTAGTCGTGGATCCAAAGACATGCCTACTTACAGCCAATGGGGGAAGAGATTTATTCTATCAGTTCTGTCATTTAAACAAATTCAGTCCTATCCACACTCTTTCACTCGTCTTAGATTCTAAATTTCTGGAGGACAGAGACCCTACAGGCTATTCTGAAATCTGTATAGAAACTAACTTAATCACATAAATTCTTAATAAAGACACGAATGCTTCGGGATGATTAACACTGGGTTATTCAGTATGTAGTAGGAAACTGTGCCCATTATATGATTAACGACTTACCTGGGGTGATGTATAAATATGCTCTTACAAACATGTCTATACGAGCTTTGCTTGCTGTGATGAAAATCATGTTTCCAGACTATTTACACAAAATTAAGCTGACATTGCCAAAAAAAATGAGTTACTCTTAGTTGTGAGAATCTATATCCTTTTATAGTGGCCTCTGCTACTGGGGTGGGGAGGGACAAAGAATGAAGGAAGGAGAGTATTGTCAGGGCTGGATTATTTCTACATAAAAACTTATATTGAATATGTGAAGTAAATCCCATATTTAATTTGTTCTATCTTTTTCTTTCCTGAGAAAAGAGATTTTGGCTATTCTAGCACTTTCACTATTTTGCCTAATTAAGACACATGTCTAGTTATTAGGAGAACTAAGAAATATTCCAAAATCTGCATAGAGCTCAGAAGAAAATTATCGTACTTCCTAAAACCAGCATTTTTAAACTTCCACAAGAATCACAATATTCTGTGGAGCTTTACAATTTCCTGGGCCCCTTTCTCAGCAATTATAGTTTTAGTAGATTGGCTGGAACCAAGAATTACTATTAAAACAAACAAATAAAAAACCTTACAAGGGTAATTCGGATATACCCTAAAGGCAGAGAACCACCATCTTAAATCTTAAGATTAATGATTCCTGAATAATTTTTAAAATCATGTCAGGACATTAGTTGAGCATGGGTAACATGGCAAGATGCTGTCTGTACAAAAAAATTAAAAATTAGCCAAGTATGGTGGTGCACGCCTATGGTCCCAGGTACTCTGGAGGCTGAGGTGAGGAGGATCACTTGAACCCAGGAGGTTGAGGATGCAGTGAACCACGATTGTACAACTGAAATCCAACGTGAGTGACAGAATGAGACCCTGTTCCAAAACCAAAACAAAACAACAGAAAAAACAGAAAATTAATTGTTCATATAACAGAGTTTTTAATAACCTAGATATATCAGTTTAATTCAATTTAGCCAGTATTTACAAAGTATCCATTATGTAAAAGTTATTTTGCTTTAATTGGGGGAATACAAAGACATACTAAAAAATAAAACAAAACAAACCTATTCCACAATTACATAAATAAACTTCAAGAGAGACTCTATAGAATCTACAAGATTTGGAAAAGGCGCTATCCTCTTAGCATCTTGCGAAGTTTGAAAGAGGGAGAGGTCGTATCAATCTCATAAAATTATGAAAATCGCATTAAATATAGAGTTTTTGAGTTGAGGGAATGATGGGGATGTGACAAGCTGAACTGTAGAGTAGGACAGGGAAGGCCACTACTGAAGTAGGGAATGGAAAATATGGGGCAAACTGGCTGCAGCATAAATAAAAAAGATAAAGTGAGAACGTTCTTTTGGAAAATTAATTCTATAGGCAACAACTCAGTCTATTACAACCATAGAACTTAATAAAAAGTCATTTTCAAAGAAAGCTTAAAAAAGAAAAGAATACCAATGGAATAAACTAGGGGAAAAATTAGGTTGTAATGGGATAGGGTTTGATTCTGTGTTCCCACCCACATCTCATGTTGAATTGTAATTCCCAGTGGTGACTGAATCGTGGAGGCGGATTTACCCCTTGGTGTTCTTGTGATATTGAGTGAGTTCTCACGAGATCTGGAAGTTTGTGGCACATCCCCCTTCACACTCTCTCCTGTTCCCGTGTGAAGATGTGCTTGCTTCCCTTCTGCCTTCTGCCATGATTGCAAGTTTCCTGAGGCCTCTCCAGCCATGCCTCCTATACAGCCTATGGAACGGTGAGTCAGTTAAACTCATTTCCTTCATAAATGACTCAATCTTAGGTAGTTCTTTATAGCAATATGAGAATGGACAAACACACGGTGTTAAAGAAATAAAATAGGGCATGAACCAACAATATTAAAATCACATATGTCAGATACTATAATAAACAGAACACCGTGCCTGAAATTTAATTATTAAAATAAGGCATAAGCATTAGTGCAGAGGATAAATATAAAAAATTAAACATTTAAATAAATTATGCCAAATGTCATTAAATCAAAGGTGCCATTAATGGTAGTAATGTTGTCATTCTATGTACCACTCAAAAACAAAAAGTGCTGCAATTGCACTATAATGTAATGCTGTCTTATTTCTTAGAATTTTTATATTCACCAAAGGAGCTTGCTTAATCTTAAATATAGATTATTTTGTACACAGCATTTTGGCGTACACAAGAATGGATACTATAAATACAATAAATTAGTCAAGACAGTCCTAGTTCTTCACATTGTATCCAATCGTTCTAAATCACTTTTCAACTCAGAGTTATTGATATTTGTGTTTTTCTTTCATTAAATATCTTGGTAATGGCAACATATCAGCATATCATCATTTAATTGTGGCTACCAAAGCTTAGTCAGAAAATACAGCCTTGAGTCATTCCCCCATTGATATTTGTTTCAAAGATAATCCAACATACAAATGGTGCTCCTGAATAACGATTAAAAGAATTGATTTTTGAAGGTGTATTCAAAATTGTAAGAGAAAGATACCCATGGAATAAGTTATACTCTGTTTCGAAAACATATATATATATATGCACACACACATATATTTATAGTTACATATATTTATATATACATATACAAAATTTAGGTATGAGAAAAATGCTTACTAAGATATTACATTTCAAAAATAGGCTATGTAGTGTGTGATGTAAGCAAATGGGGCTGAGATCCAAACTGCTCAAGTTCCGATCACAGTGTTTCCAGTTGCCATCTGTGTCCTCCCAGGCAATCTCTGCTACCTCTCTGGGGTGGAAATAATACGCCACCGTCAGGGTTGCCATCCAGATTAAAGAACCATCAGTAAACGCGTTTAATAACTGTTAGTACCTGTATCAGCATTCAGAGAGTTTCACTCTGGCCAATGAGGAGTAATAGGAACCGGATTTACTCTCCCACCTGAAACTAGAAAATTGGGCCACCTGTATGAAACTAAGGTTTTCAGATTAAACGTGAGGCAACAAACCATAAAGATCCCTGAGAGACAAGCAAGAACTGAGGTGAATTCTGCTGTTGCCACATTTTTTTAACCCGGGGAAAGTTTCCAGGCTGTGGTGTAGGTGGGAGATCCCAGACAGAGCCCAGTGATTTCCCAGAGTTGACTTGGTGGAGATGGGAGTCTATGGAGGCTCAGGGAAAAGGACTGGAGAAGAGAGAGCTTCACAGATAGGAAGATCTGAAGATTTGCAGAGGGTTCCTTCAGTCTTCAGCTGAGGATAGATCAACATATGCTTGTAAAGAAGCCACCTAAGGCCCGGGAGAGAATCGCCTGAAAGAATTAAAGAAAATAACTTCTGAGCTTCACACAAAGCCAGAAACGGTTCCTGTTCCCAAGAGCCAGACTGGGAAAACTCCTAACTTGTGGGACATGGGATAGAGTAGTGAGATAGTTTGTCATATGAAAGAATTAGCTCTAGACCCAATGCTGCTTGGTCCAGCCTGACAAAGCTTAGAAGCAAGACCTGAACCCCTCGGAACGTGTCTGATCAAATCTTTTGCCTATTTTTTTCAGTTGGATGTTTTGTTTTTTATTATTGAGTGTTCAAGATCTTTATCAGATATGTGGTTTGCAAATACTTTCTTTCAATGTGTAGTTTTGTATTTTCATTATCTAAACAATGTCTTTCAAGGGCAAAAACTTTTATTTTGATAAATTCCAATGTACTAATATGTACACACAAATGTTCGTAGCAGCTTTATTAATATTAGCAAAGAACTAGAAACAGTGCAAATGCTATCAACAGGTGAATGAATGAATAAATCTTGGTATATTCATAGGATGGAATACTACTTAGCAATATAAATATTTATGCAAAAATATGAATGCATCTCAAAATAATTGTGCTTAGCGAAAGAAATCAAATCCCCAGCCCTCCCTAAAAAGAGTATATACTGTATGATTTCATTTACATATAGGTCTAGAAAATACAAGCTGACAGGCAGTGAGTAAAAGCAGATCAGCTGTTGACTGAGGAGGTGGGAGTGAGAGAGTTGGGGTGGACAGCTCAAAACAATTACAAAGAGACACAAGGGCCAGGCGCAGTGGCTCACGTCTGTAATCCCAGCCCTTTGGAGGCAGAGAGGGCAAATCTCCTGAGGTCAGGAGTTCACGACCAGCCTGGCCAACATGGTAAAACCCCATCTCTACTAAAATACAAAAAAATTAGCCAGGTGTGGTGGCACATACCTGTAATTTCGGCGCATGCCTATAATTTCAGCTACTCAGGAGGCTGAGGTAGAACTGCTTGAACCCAGGAGGCAGAGGTTGCTGTGAGCAAAGATTGCACCATTGCACTCCAGCCTGGAAGACAGAGTGAGACTATCTCAAAAAAAAGGTGAGGAGGCGGCACAAGATCACATTTAGGAGTGGTGGATGTGTTCATTATCTTCATGGTGGTGACTATTTCATGGGAATATATAAATATACACACACATATATATTTTTAAACATCATATTGTATACTGTAATATGTGCAATTGTGTGTGAATTATACTTCAATAAAGCTCTAAAAATTAGTTACTCAGCCATATAAACATAAAAAACAAATACAAAGAAATAAAATCAAGCTAACTTCAGGTTTTTCCATTGCTGTATAATTTTGTTTTATTCACCTAGTGATTTTAAAAAGGCCATTGACAGACTTTAGTATATAAGAACCCTGAGCATACAGCACCTGTGATACCTTTTTTTAACTAAGAGGTAACTAATTGGCAGGGCACTGTGGCACACGCCTATAATCCCAACACTTTGGGAGGCTGAGGTAAGCAGATCACAAAGTCAGGAGATCAAGACCATCTTGGCTAACATGGTGAAACCCCGTCTGTACTAAAAATACAAAAAATTAGCCGGGCATGATGGCACATGCCTGTAGTCCCAGCTACTCGGGAGGCTGAGGCTGGAGAATTGCTTGAACCCAGGAGGGGGAGGTTGCAGTGAGCTGAGATCATGCCACTACAGTCCAGGCTGGACAATAGCATGATACTCTGTCACACACACACACACAAAAGACGTAAGTAATTACAAATTACTCCATGTATGGCGACACTGTAGACTAGTGCAGGGTGCTGTTGGAAGGTATCCTCCTGAGGGCCCTGATTCAGTCTGAGTTTCCAAAGGTGGTGTCCCCAGGGAAGTGACATCTGTGCTAAGGAAAAGAAAACTTCCTGGGTGAAAAGAAGTCAGAAGAGTATTTTTGGAAGAAAGAGGCTGTGTAAATGAAGTTTTCTCTTACAGGCAACTAAAATCTGCTTTAGAGAATATGGTACCAGACTCAATTCCGATGTTTAAGAGCTTGGTTAAAGTCGCACTAGTAAATGGCGAAGACTACACAAAACCTAAACAGCTCTATTTGACCCATATGATTCCAAAAAGAGGTTTATAATTCAATCACATGAGCTAAATAGGGGCAGAGTCAGACTGCCCCTGGGAAAATACAGAAGATCTATGCAGAAGTTTTCAACTCTCTGCTTTTTAAAACACTTCCAGTGTTTCTTGCTGGAAAAATTCCAAATAGGTTTGCAGGATAATGAAAACCTGCGCCATTTGCTCTTGGCTTACTCTTCTATGTGTATTCATCAGCCTCTCTTTATCACGCTTCTGTCATATTGAAAAACCCCCAACTTTCAAAGGCACTGCCATCTTCTTCCTTTGCCTATATTGCTCCCTCTGCCCCACCTTTGCCTGAGAGTGACAACATTGTGTGTTAAGATTTCTAATGAAATGCTCACTGGGTGGAACTACCTGTGCCTGGGTTTGACCCTATCCTTTAGCCAACATAGAGGATGTGCCTCGTCAAACCCGCCCTGCATCCCTGTTATGGCACTCTTTAAAAATACATGTCAGTTTTCAAACCTTTTTAAGAAATAAGAGATGGAGGTCTCGCTATGTTACCCAGGCTGGAGTACGGTGGCTCTTCACAGGCACGATCACAGTACTACAGCCTGAAACTCCAAGGCTCAAGAATCCTACTGCCTCGGCCTCCCAAGTAGCTGAGACAACCTTACAAGAAATGATGACAGAGAGATCTGAAAGTTCAACACCTTCAAACTGCAGCATTTCATGGGTTGACAGGAAACAGTGACTATCTGAGGAAGAGAACGTTTTGGAAGAGTTGGAATCACATTCCTAAGCAGTGATTTTCAAGCATTTTTAACAGTGGGGCGCTTTCTTGTCCACATGAAACCACAGCTGTGATTCCACCTTACAATACAGATTAAAATAGGCCTTTATGAATAAAAGTTTAATTTATGATTTCATACTTGTAAGGTAAGCAATAAGAACAAGGAGCCTATTTAGGAAACACTGAATTTTAGTGCCTAACACACTTGAGTGTATGTGCTTTCTAATTACTATTTTTTTAAGCTTTAAATATGGCATTTAAGAAGTCACTCAAGCATTTGCAAACCCTGAAGCAGTCTTCCCTCTAGCTTGGAAATCACTGTACTGCCTTACGTCAGAAGTAGAGCTTAGACTGAAATCAGTGAGTATTCAGGAAATTCATTGGTGTTGCTTGCTTTAAGCCCAGGTCTTTCTTTCCATTGCATCACTGCTCCCCAGGCTTTGTGAATTTGCCCTGAGGAGTTACAGACAGGCATCTGCACAGACCTGAGCCTCTAATTAACAGAGCAGAAAATAACATTGCTTCAGGTGGGAGCAGAAGGCCCTGGACGATGCTGGACCACTGCAAGCTACTCATTTCCCTGAGAGGAGTGCCAGGCCAGATCGTGCAAGCTTCTAGGAAAAATTTGGTGAGGCCACAATTAACCGGGCTTGGGCAGGTTAACAATGATAAAAAGGGAAGATATTTGACTTGGTCCAAATACTTTCAGGAACAGGTAGTATCAAGTGCATTTGTGAGGTTCCTTTACCACAATAGAAGCAGATAGCTTCTAAATGAAGTGATTGTGCACAAGCTTAGAGGAAATCTGAGCCACCGTCAAACCACATGGGGATAATAGGCATCTCCACACAGCGACCGGAGCTCTGTACGGCTAATACACACAGACGCTGTGGGCTTCAGCTCGTCTAAAAAGGCAGGGAGGTTGCACGGTATATTAAATTCACCGATTTTTACAGCTAACATCTGGCCTCAAGGACAGCTGTGGTCAGGTTTAGTGAAAGACTTCAATGAAAAATGGTTAAGTCAAAATATTTGGCCTCTCCGTTTGCATTAAAGCAATGTGTTAATCAGTCAATCTGCATTGGTACTTGATATTTACCAGTTTCATTTTATTTGAGGCAAGAATAAACTTCTCAACAAAGTTAAACATCACCCCTTGGACTCAAAGGAATCTTATTCATGTAGTGCTGCCTTTTCAGTTTGAAAAACATATATTTTTATTATTATGAAAGTAATAATGTTTCTCTTCACATGCCTTGAGTCTTAATTCATATTGAAGTAGCTTGGCCCTCGATAAAGGACAAACAGAGCATAGTGTGTAAAATGATTGGCATCTAAGCCTCCCTGCATGTCTGAGATTTTGAATAATAGGGTAGTTAGCATGAATGAACTCCTACATCATACACATGAAAACAAGACTGCGGGGTTGAGGGGTTTTACATTCAGTGCAGAAAGTTGTCTCCCAAAATCTGTCGAGTCCACTTTGCAGTCTGTTTCTAATCTCTCAGAAACACAACATGGGTTTAATGTGACCCTGAAGGATGTCAGGAAAACAGGGCTTGCCCTATGATCCCCCGTGTGAAGCTTGTTGAACTAGTCTGAGCACATTTGGAACAAATCAAGATGGTGAACATCTGCCTCCCTTTGTTAGAAGAATCCTTCTATTTATAAATAAACACTTCATCTGGAAAAGATGGTGAATTCCTTCAGTCCATGTTGCTTGTCTTGAGCTACTTGAGCATGGGGTGAGTGGCACATGGTGCATTCTGAATCCCATCAGAGGACACAGAGAATGAAAAATAATTAGCGACTAATACCTTGCGGGATTCTGCCTAGTCCTGTGTGGCAGCTGATTCAGCTACCTGGAAGACGCTCGGGACGTTATCTGGACTTTCCTTACTTACACAACTAAATGACCCAGAGGTGCTTGAGGCCCCTGAGAGAGAAACACAGCCTCAGTCAGCATTTCCTAACTGTGGAAATACTGAAGAGGCCACAAAGACAGATGTCTGCCTTCAGCCGCCCCAGTGTGGGTATTCACTACGATCAGGAGGGCAAAGTATACCCAGAGGAGATAGCTCTTTTAAGGGGCTGTGGGCATTAGAAAATAGGACTTTTAAGGAGATGTTGGACCTTCTATGCCTCTTGCATACCCCAGCTTCCTTCTCCAGCTCTCATGAATGCACTGCACATAACTTTACTACAGCTCTTCAGAGTGACCTCAACAATATTGCTTACAGCTTATTTAATGGGTAGGGGGCTTCTGAGAATTCGGGAGAATAATGTTTTGCTAAATGTTGCAGAAATTAAAAGGCTATGTTGAGAGTGAGACCACTGTTACTGAAAAGATGGTACTTTTTCATACTTACCTTCCTACTGAATGGAGACTGATTTGATTTGAATAATAAATTATTACAGTGTGATTTTGGACATGATACTCAACTCTTGTAGGACAATTTCTCTAGTTCAAAAGCAATGAGAATACTGACATTTGAAGAGTAATCTTCACCACGTGTCTTCACTTATATTTACAATTAGTGTCCCCAAAATAATCTTGTGTTGAGGAGATGATCAACCCATTTAACATAAGGCTAAATAACCCATTTTTTAAAGAAAGGAAAAGCATTTTAAAAGATGCTCAAATAAAAAGCTGAAAAGAACTTTTGGTTCTTGAACTAAAATTGTGGTTGAACAATTCTATTTCCAGGCATTTACCCAAAGGAAATAAATTATTAATCATGTGCCCCAAGACACATATTCAAGAATGTATGTGAGCGTGTGTGTGTGTACATATATAATATGTAAACTATAATATAAAAGATATACTATCTATATGTAATAAATAAATAACATGTATATTGTAGTTACCTATCTCAAAACATTTCAATGTCATGCAAATAATTGAGAAAAACCCAATGGCCAAATAAACTATGGCATATTTATGCAATAGAATAGCATAAAATAGTACAGATGAATAAACCACAGCTTTAGACATCAACACAAAAGAATCACAACAGCATAATAAGAAAATTCAAGTCAGAGGAAGTACATGCAGTATGATTCCAATTGTATGAATTTCAAAGATAATCAAAACTAAATAATACATTATTTGGGTGCATTCTAAAGTCATGTAACATCCTAAAGAAAACCACAACGAGTATCACAAAAGTCAAGATAGTGGTTACATTTGATGGGGAGATGGGGTGAAGCACAGAACTTGGTATCTAAGAAAAATGGCCCAATTCATGTATTTACTTGGATGCTGGGTTTTCGGGTGCTTGTTTTATTTTTATTTTTTACAAACTCTTTATTCAAATGTAGTATATATGCACAGAAGTGTACAAATAGAAGCAGGCAGCTGAGTGAATGAGGCCAGCAATCTCCAGCACACCAGCACCAAAACACCCTACATCTGAATCTCTATCCTAATGAAGAGAAACACAGCAAACAAAAACATACAAAAGAAGCAACAGCAAGTCACTAACACTCTTTCAAAGGTAGCTGCTGTTCTGACTTTCAACACTATAGATTAGTTTTTCCTCTTTTTGGACTTTATATTGATGGAATTACGTAGTATGCACTTTTTAAAAATCTGGCTGCTTTTCAATATTTTGTTTATGAAATCGACCCATTTTGTTGCATGCAGAAATAGTTTGTTCATTCCCTGCTTTATTGTTTATTTTATATACGTTTCTGTGTTTGTATTATATTTCTCAATAAAGCAAATAAAAATAAAACTTTGAAAGATCAGATTCAGTAGTAAGGAAGTCCTTGTTACCCTCTGCATGTCCATTAAAGTTGTAACTTCTAACAATCCAAATATTTTAGACATTAAATATTTCCAGAGAGTCTGGAAAGAAAGTTATTTCTCAACACATCAGTCTTTCTACTTTTGCTGCCAAGTCCAGAGTAGACACAGGGACAACAAATATGGACTCTGTCAAGTAATTTCACCTAAAGTGTTTCTAAGACCAAAATTCAAAGAGCAAAAACAAAAAAAGATGCTGCTTACCCAGATTCCCCCAGTTGAACCACTCCTGACCAAGTTGTGTAGTAGATAACTTGTCTCAGGCACCTGGCTCTCACCAGGCTCACACCTGCCCCCGCACACCTGCTTACCCTTTTGGCCTGTCTTTGCCCTTTTGATCTGTAAGTCCTACTTCTGTACCATTCTCATTCCATGTGAATGAGGTCTCTCCATGTGCTTGCCTCTTTAATATTGAAGGAAAGAAGGCTGATAAAATAATTCACAGTGAAATATGAAAAAGAAGGAATTATTCTATCTTTCCAGAGGCTGTTGATATTTTACAAGGGCAAAGTTATCATAAGGCATCGGCTGTGAGAAAACATTGGGAGACTTTTGTGTGGGTCCTTTGCATTCCATCAGGTGGGCATCACCCTAGTTTGCTTGCAATGACCCTGTGTGCACTGGGAGATTTTGTTTATTCTAAGCAAGGAGACTTCTGACAACAGGAAGAAGGCTTTTTAGCCTTATTATCTCTGTGGCCTCCAAACCAGAAACCAGAATTCAAAGATGAAAGCTAATCTTCACAGCAGAAAAAATGTTTCTGAGCTGCTGCCACTGCAAAATATAAAAAGTCAACCCCTAAAAAGGCTGCGATGGAAGAATGCCCAAGTGCTGCCCACTCTTCTGACCAGGCCAAGCAATGCCTGGAAAATGCCTGCCTCTCTAGTTGTGTCTGAGGGTGGAGATTTATTGGTCCACTGGGAAACAGGCTTGGGGACAGCTGCCTGAATCCAGACCTGGGCCCGCTTCCAGCTGGATCTGAAACTGTTTTCCTAAAGATGTTGCTTTCCCTGCACCCTTCCCTCAGGGAGGGTGTTCATCCTCCCATCTCGGGAGACTATACTTTCAGATTTGCCTCAGAGCCTTGTTTGTGCCTGCTGTCCTAGAATCCATTTTGGTTTGCACTTGTCCTGGATTTTTTATTTTCTAACAAGATATTAGTAGTAGTAGTTACATTAAAGAATGATGGGAAAGCTTGGATACACCTCTACTTTGTATCTCTAACTTTTGCCAGGGTCTCGTCCAGGAGGGAGCAGGTAAGTGATTAGTGAGCTGAGTTCTTATTTTATTGCCTGGTTACAGCAGAAAGACGACCCATGATAACCTACTCTCTTGTCTCAAGTCTTTTAGATTAAACACCACTTTCGTGCATGCAGGATACTGGCTGACAAACTAGAGCTGGGTTGAACACCCACAGCTGGAGACAGCTCAATTCTTCCAATCTCCAATGATATGATACAAGAAGCATTCCAGCCAGCACTTTGGCCTGCAAGATACAAGAAGCCACAAGGTCACTAGTCAGATCTTATGCCAAGGAAGTGGGGAAGTGTTTGAACTGGTACCCAAACCGATGTATTTAGCTTGAAAACTCTTATTCTTAAGCACATTGCCAACCACTCCTCACTTTCATTAAAGATTACGGCAAAAGGTGCCACCTCCAATCTACTCTATGTTCTTTCTTCCTAGAATTTCATATCCATGGAATTCCATATCCATGCACTCAGTTGTGTCATTGTGTCAAGGTCACAGCTCAATGCCAACTGCTATACTTCAGTATTTAAAAGCTGGTAGGAACTCTGGACGTTAGTGCAATTATAATTCTCTAGTCTCCTCATAATATTTCTTGACAATTCCTTTTCTGACCTTTGATTAGCTCACTCTCCACTCGAGCAATGATGTAAAACACAAATTTCCTCAAGCACACTCTTATACCTACCCTTCTTCTCTCAAAAGCTGACTTGCATCCTACATCACTTTTGGAGGACATTGAGGAAATTGGCTACACATTTCTCAAGCTTTAGATACCACATCCTCCCTCCTACTTTGTGCTTTCTTCTATTAACAGCCAAGCTCTTCAACTGTGCTCATGGTCCACTCTGCTTCTATCCATTCAGGACCTGGCTCTATCACTTACAAGTGTATTCTTTTCACCTTCAACCCATCCTGCTCTGTTGTTTTATTTCCTTTGGCTTATAAGTGTGATCAAATCTCCTCCATCAAAACAAATTAACAAAAATCTTAACACTTAAACTACTTTCTTAACAGTATCCTTTTACCCTTGACCTAACCCTCTTCTCTCTTGTAAGTCAAGCATCCTGAAAAAATAGACTCTATTTCCTCTTTGAATTTCTTCACTGTCCAGTCTCATCTCAAACCCTCATAATGTAGCCTCTACCCTCACTACAACCCCAGAAACTGCTCTAGCAACAATCACCAATATTCTCCCTATTGACATTTAAGTTAAAAAAAAAATGCTGTTATCGTTCTTCATTCTTTACATAATTTGATACATTTTAATATTCCACATCTGGAAATCCTGCATGTGCCTGACTTCTTGTAACCACTGCCTTCGGATTTTACATCCTTGCAAGTCAACTCCCCTTCTCTCTTTGTACTGCCATCTGACACACCTTCTTCAAAGCTGAGCATTTCTTCTCAATCTTCTTCACAGGAATATCAGAATTCCTAGGATTCCCTCCTTGGCCCAGTAAGGTCCTCAACTGACCTTAGAGCAATCACATCCATACTGGTGGTTTATCTACCACCTGTAGGACAATGACCCCCACACCTGCCAAGCCATCTTTCCCACCTTCACATTTCAGCAGCACGTCAAATGCATATACCTCCTTGCCCCAGAATGTGTACACACAGTTGTCACATAGATATGTCACAGCTCAAGGAGTCCAATATGCCTCATTATTTTTCCCTAAGACCTATTTCCTGTCATCTCTACCGTCATGTGTCATGGTTCCTCCTTGTGACAGCCACTTAGGTCAGAAACCTGAAATTCAACTATGATTCTCCCCTCCTCATACTGTGCAGTGTCTAAAGAATCATCATACCTATTGATGTCTTCATTCTAAAAAATGTTCAAAACTCTTCCCACATTTTACATATGCTATTCTGAGGCCTCTCTGCCTAACATTTCTCCCTGTTTCTCTTCCAATGTTCTCTTTACTCCATGCTGCCACCAGGCTCACACAAACCCACCACTCAGTTTTTAAAATCAAACTGTCATGGGTTTCCTTGTATTGCTTGCTGGGCCAACTCCTGGCTCCCAAGATGGCAGGTATAGCTCTTTGCACAATGTGAAAACTAAGGCCAGGCCTCACCCTGTCTCTGCCTGTCTGCCGCCTCTCTGGAAAACTCCAGGAGAAGCACACAGAAGCACCTTCTCTTCTCTGCTGACATGGAATTTGACCATGCACAAAGCAGCAGCAAGGAGATGTAATCCCATCCAATTTTCATAGATAACATCCAGGGTGGAAATGTTTCCAAACCACAGCTGAAAGACACATGTGGTTTTATTCGGCATGAAATTCAGCAAGTAATTAATACTCAACTCTGTCATGCTCCTGGAAGCAGGGCCACTCTTGGAGCTGGAGGGAGTGAAAGTGAGACCCTCCTGCTGGTCAATACTGACTGCCTCCATCACAGCAGGGAAGTTATGGACTCTCTCTCTAGGAACAAAAAGGTACATACCATTGAGGTTTTGCTTATAATTCAGGGAGCTCAGGGATCAGGCCCCTCCCAACAAAGCACACTCATAGCCTTATAGGCTGTAATCAGCCTTCCGGAAAGCAGCCTTCATGTGCTTGAGGAGCATGCCCAGGAATGACTTTCTCTTTCCTCTCCTCCTCCACCTTGGTTTATGTAAGTCGAGTTGTTTGTGTGTTATATTTTTCCTCCAGAATGATTCCCTCCTTTTTCATCTTTGGGCAATGTCCTGAACTGCATAGGCTCTAGAGGTTTTTTTGTTTTGTTTTGTTTCATTTCGTTTTAGAGATGGAGTCTTGCTCTGTCACCCAAGCTGGAGTGCCGTGGCACGATCTTGGCTCACTGCAACCTCCACCTCCTGGGTTCAAGCAATTCTCCTGCTGAGTAGCTGGCATTAAAGGATATGCCACCATGTCTGGCTAATTTTTGTATTTTTAGTAGAGACAGAGTTTCATCACGTTGGTTAGGCTGGTCTTGAACTCCCAACCTCATGATCTGGCCGCCTCAGCCTCCCAACGTGCTGGGATTACAGGCATGAGTCACCTAGAGGTTTTATGTGACATGTGTGTGACAGGATGGGCCACTGCATCCTCCTTATCAACATAGACTTCCGGCAAGCATTCCCGCCAGCACAGCAGTGCCCTCGCAGCTCCCTGGCAGCTCCCACAGAACACTGCCAGCTACAATTCTGCGGATGGTCCATGACATATTGATGCCAAGCTGCATCTCTCTAACTTCACTTGTTGGGTCCCTAGGCACCATGTGGGAAAGTGAACTGTAATCCAAGGGAGCAAACTGAGAGGGGTCAGCACCTGGATCAGTTTCCTATGGGAATGAGGGCAGCTGTTGTGCTGGACCCTGTGGGCAGTGCAGGAGGAGGTGCAGGAGAGCTGCCCATGCAAGGCACCCTTCATTAAGCATCCATGGTACAGAAAGCCAGTGGATGCAGAGGCAATGGTGTAATCTCAGCCAGCCAGTGGAACAAAGCAGTGGGAAAGCACATTCATTCATTCATTCATTCATTCAATGAGGCAGTTTTCACTGTGCTCCTGCTGAATTCCAGGCTCTGTGCTAGGTGCATAGAAAACAACAGTGAGGAAAACAGATAGGATCTTCTTGTAACTTCCTGTCTAGTGAGTGATGCAGGCATGATGGTGATGTGACCATTCAACCATGAAGGTAAGGATCAAGTTTGAGAGAGGACTTAGGAAGGCACAGAACACACTTTGGGGGTGCAGGGGGGGACACTGAGTCAGGGAAGGCCACCTGAGGGCACTAACATTAATGCTGATGTGTGCAGGGTGAGTAGGTGCTAGCCAGGTGGGTGGGTGCCTTTGCTGTGGGGCCAGAGGTGAGGCAGGGTGGAGAGTGCCGGAGGGAGAGTGGAGATTTGGGGGCAAATTGGTCATGAGGGGCAGCAGGGAGGCCAGTAGAACCAAACATTAATAGATGTTACCAGAGAGGCAGGAAGGCCTGGAACACGAAGCACCTCTGACACCATTTTAATAACTTTGCACTTTGCACTAAAGAGTTTTAAGCAACGTGTGATTGAGGAGATCTGAGT